GCCTTGTAGAGCACAAATGAATCAGGCCATACCAAAAACATAGGAATTTCGCCAACAGTTTAAACTTAATTGATATTATATTGGAAATACAAAGTGCTCCATGGTAGAAATTATATGGTTTCTAATCCTAAAAATCAAACACCCAAATCTATAGGAAAATTTTCATAAGAATTGAACTCCAAAATTACTGTGATTCAAAGAAGCCGAAAAAAATACGAGGATCATCCGAACGTTCATATTCACTTTGTTTGCTGTCCTCTCTCGCATGAAGCTTGGTTCGTACCAGAGGGTACAAAATTATCCTGTGTAGAGGTGTATATGGAACATCAGACATTGCTTTTGTATAACCAATCATTCTATGATGTGGCCGTATTTCCCCAACAGCTTTCCACTCTTAAGGATTTCGGAAGTGTTTCAAACATTTAAATGGATATACTTGCCTGGTGCAGGGCTTGAGCACTATGTTTGGTAGTCTGTCAGACCAGTGACCTAATTCTTATCAGTCATGTAGTTGTCTAACAACGTGTTCTTCTTGTTGCAGCTTCCAGAGGATATTGAGTGGCACTTCATTGGGAACCTGCAGAGCAACAAAGCCAAAGCCCTCCTAGGTTACTGTCTGCATTCTTGTTTTGATATTCTGGCAGAGACAAGTGTTGCTTAGGTTTTGACGCTGCTACATAAATTTTTATATATTACTCATACTACGCTTGTTTTTAGATAGCAAACATATGCAATAAATTAGGAGTATTTGCACGATGTGGTTTGGTGTTGGTGTGATTTTTGTTGTCATAGGATCAGTCTGGTGTTTTAGCTTAAGACACAGTTAAGTGTTAGTTACTTTATTCTGGAATGATTGGTTGGTTGGTTTTGTATTGCTGTGTGCAAGCTCTGTTTGTAAACTCTTTTCCTTTTTAATGAATGACAGAGCTCCTGTTTTCATCTAACTTTTTTAGAGATATTCCTCTTTTACTTAAATGTGTTCATACCTGATATCTTCTCTACTTTATTGCTTGCTATTGAGCTAATGTTTCTCTTCTTTTCTTAACCTACAGCTGGTGTACCAAATCTTGACATGGTTGAGAGCGTAGACGATGAGAAGGTATATGCTCAGTTTATGTTGTCTTCTGGTTTATTCAACTGCAGTTTTTTCTAGTTTTAGGAAATACTTACACCAGGCACTTAGTCATCAATGATCACTTCACTGTAGTTGCCTTCTTAAGGTCATATTTTGCTTGGTCAAGAAAAAGTATGCTTTCCCAGGCTTCATGCATATCGATGACCTCATAGAACTTGTTAAGTTGTTTATTTCCATTGTTCAATCAACATGTCTATATTTAGCTTTATTTGTATCATATTTTTCGTAATAATATTTTATTGCGCCAATAGGCCTTGGAAATAAAATTTGCATTGTGTTAGCATTCTTATCTTGTTTTTTTTTCTCAAGAAAATGCAAAGCTTGTGTCTCTATTACATTCGTCTTGTTGCAAGACCAGATTTTTTATCATGCATCTATAATGAGATTGAATGTAATATTTGTTTTTCTTTCAGATCGCAAATCGTCTTGATCGGGTGGTAGCTGATTTGGGGAGAAAACCTCTTAAGGTCTTGGTCCAAGTCAACACAAGTGGAGAAGAATGTGGGTACTCTAATTGTCCTTTTTAATACAGTTGTGAACATGTTGGCTTGATATGCAATTTCTCAATGTGAGAGCCTCTGGTCTTTAATTTTGAACACTGGTACGCAGCACTTTTTTTTTGTAGCTATTTTTAGGTGTTCGTAAGTAATCAGCTTTGCTAGATGACAGCATATTATACCTGTCTGAGCAATGCTAGACTGGAGATATGTGGTCCTCAAACCATGTTACTGTTTTGCAGCAAAATTTGGAGTAGATCCCTCAGGGTGTGTGGGATTAGCAAAGCATGTCAAGTTGAGCTGCCCAAATCTTGTATTTTCTGGTTTGATGACAATTGGAATGCTTGATTACTCCTCAACTCCAGAGAATTTCAAGGTATATTCTGAAGCACAAACTTAATTGGACTGATATGCTTCATAGGGCTAATTTATGCTGCTTGCTGAATGCTTAGGCATTGACTAGTTGCCGGAAGGAGGTATGCAATGAACTTGGAATACCAGAAGAGCAGTGCGAGCTGTCAATGGGCATGTCTGCCGATTTTGAGCAGGCGGTAAGGAACATGTTACAAGAAGATAACTCAGAGGTATACAAACTGAATAATAATGTCTAATGGTGTGTACTTTTATTTTGTGTGCGTTTATGCAGATTGAAATGGGCAGCACAAATGTCAGAGTTGGATCAACCATATTTGGTGCAAGAGAATACCCAAAGAAGAACTAGGATAATTACAGGGTTTAATTGTGAGACCGTGCATCTAACAGCTGCAGTATTGGTGGTAAATATGTATCTATTTCCACCAATATTTACACTTCGATGTTTTACGCAAGTGCCATAAATAAGGATATTGTTTTGTCATGTGTCTCCTGTTATTAAACATTCAGAGAGCACTGCAATTCCAACTTCCTGATTCATCAGTAGCTTCCCAATAATGTCCACATTATAATCCCTTATGTCAGTCGATGTTTGTGATCAGCCAGAAATCCTGACATTGTAACTGTCTGTGATGTTTCTTGGTAGCCTAAAAGTAATGAACATATCGTTTGATTTCCATCATTATATTAACTTCTTTCTGTAACGCATCTTTTGCATAAGGTACCAAACCACTTCAGAGCATCTCTATCCCATTCCCAATACTCACCCCCCTAAAACAACTTATTGGGAGGCTCCCAAGAAAATTATGTTTATTAGGATGCTGTGAACTAGCGGATCCTCTAAACTGAACTCAATTTCTTTTGCTAGTTCACACCCCCTTTTGCATGAAATATAAATTTCAACTATATTTTTCATATCGTTGTAGAAAAAAGAAAAGGACAAGGAAAAAGGGATAAAAGTAACCTTTGGCCATTTCGTCGAACACCCTGCGACGCCGGCCATGGACACCACGGTGGCAGAGGGAGGGGGACAGGGGGAGGCCGAGAGGTGCTCAGCCTGAGCCTCGCCTCTCGCCGACGCTCAAGTCCAAGGCTCGGGTCGGGAGGTGGTGGTTGCCAGCGTGGTCCGGGCGTGGAAAGAGCAACAATAGTTTTATGATTAGCAAATGTTACTCGTGCTTTGCTTTAGCGTAGCAATTCGTCTAGCAAACCATGTACAGTAGTCATTTCTCTATGGTCACTGGGCATTTCATGGTTCCTGGAGAATTTCATAAACTTGGGAGAAAAGCTTTTGCTCACAGCTAATCTGCCTATTTTTAATATCCCATTCCTTCCCCTTCATAAGATGTCAAGCCGTAAGTTGTATAAGGTTCGACGTGTTACAAGGTCACATTACATGCAGGTGCACATGAGGTCTCTTTGATCTCTAGAGTGTCACACTTCCTGAAGCCCAACCCTGTACTTTCTGAACCCAAGGCCAGGGCTAGGGATGGAGAAGGGTGCCCGCAGTGTTTGTTGGCGGGTTCATCACTAAGTGAAATCTTCTATGCTTAGGAACGAAACTGTTGACGAGAGTTGATATGCCGTAGCTGGTGTGTTTTTTTTCGCGAATACGCAAAGCTTGTGTATCATTTCATTGATAGAAGAAAGAGAATTGAGTACAGAGGAGGGTTACAAAACATGACATGAACGCAAGAAGGAATGAGCATGGAACCCAGAGCAGAGAGACAAGGGATGCTCAACCCGAACAGGAAAAAGACACAACTAAACCCACCAAGCCTAGAACTAAGGAGGCAAGCCAAACTAGCAAGGCGTCAAACATCTTCAAATCCAACACCGGGGACGCCGCGAGTTAGCAAGATAGCGCCTTCAAGAAGGGGAACAACATCGTTACGTTGCCGCTATCCGATCCGGAGAACCGGATCTAGGGTTTCCCCCGATACTCGAAGAGGGGCACGGATAAAGGCCATGACAGTGTCTTCAGGAAGGGAAACAACATCCACAAGTGCCGCCGCTGCCAGCATCGGCAAGCCGAGCAAGAATTTCTCCTGGGCTTAGTTCGTGCAATCCCATTGCGTCCAGATGAGGATCCGAAGATGAAGAAGTCAACACGCTAGACGACCGCCACCACAGAAGGGAGCAAGGTGAGGTTGCACCTGCCACCACCGAAAAACGCAAGCTTTGGAGCCGGCGTGGCGTGTTGGTGGACGGGGTCGGGAAGGCAGCAGACAAAGAGCCGATGCGGGGAGATGGTGGTGGCCGACGCCGCTAGCAAGCCAGGAACCGGAAGGGGACGCAGATCCGGGCTGCGAGGGACGTGGCCGCCGGAACACCGACAAGCCAAAGTAGCCGGAAGGGACGCAGCTACCGGAGCGTCGAGGCCGAAAATCCACACCGGCATAGCGCTGACAGGCCACGGACACCGGAGAACGCAGGTTCATGGCCGTCAGGACCGGAGTGATGTCGACGGGGATCCACCGCAGAGCTCTGACCGACTGCCAAGAGAGACCACCATGACCAAACACGCGCAGAGGTCGACACCGCCGATCGGAGGAGGCGCCGTCGGAGACGAAGGGTGGTCTGCTCCGGGGCAGGACCAAATCCCAGCCAGCCCAGCCACCTACGCCCAAAAGCAACGTCCTTCTCCACCAAAACGGGGAGAAGAGACAGGTCGGGGAGGAGGATCACGGGCGTGGCCGCGCCGCCGCATCAGACGGGCAGACGAACCGCAGCAGTTGGAGGAGGTGCACGACCACAGAGCGCCAGATCAGATCCAAGAGGTGGTGGTGGTGGCGCTCTGGCATGACGGGGGGCGGGGCGAGACCTCACCGGTACCAGCTCCGGGCGCGCCGCAGCCTCGCCGGCTGGCCCACCGGTAGGGGCGCGGGAGGGGGGCGATGGTGGAGGAGGCCCCGGCCAGATCGAGGATTGGCGGGGATCTGGCGGGGGGGAGGAGGACGAGGCCGCCCCGCCGTCACCATCCTCGGGCGCGGCACGGCTTCGAGCAGCGGCGAGGTCTTTCCCCCGTGTCGCCAGACGGGGGCGACGCGGGGGACGGGGACGGGGACGAGATCTTTCCCCCGTGTCGCCGGACAAAAGCCAGTTCTCGATTGGGCAGATTTTTATCTCATCACAAGGGGGAAAAAATAACGCTGAATCATCTTTGCAGACTAGCAACACATTATGGACATGAAGACAGATATGATAAATAGCGAAATTCTCTCTTCAATTACAAATACTCCCTCTGTCCGGAAATACTTGTCATAGAAATGGATGAAAATGGATGCATCTAAAACAAAAATACGTCTAGAACCATCCATCTCTCCAACGAGTATTTTCGGACGGAGGGAGTAGTAGTTTGAGAGATCTCTAATTGACGCGATACGAAAGACTGTACGACTCAAATTTATCAACTAAAAACTACAGGGCCTGCTGCTGACTTGGCACTTGGCAGTAGGGAACAAGCTCATCAAATCAAACCCCTAGCTTATCCTGCGGCTGACTGGTGGTTTAAGAGGAATTCTCATCAATATGATTCGATCATTCTTTCTCCCACGATTCTGGAAACTTGGTTGTGTGGCCTCCACTACCGTGAATTGGAACTTGAACACTTTCCATAGGATAATGCACGAAGCGGAGCAGACGACGAAGGGTCTTTGGTTGTTCTCGAGCTTTGTTAACCTGCAAGCTTACAATAGATAATGCACAAATTCACATGGTCGCATCCTAATGCCCTCACAGCCATGTACCATTTGATTTGTTTAACACTAAAACACATTGCTTGAATTTGATCTCCATTAATAAGCATCGCGCCTTCGCCCGCTCCCGAGCCCTTCGGTTTGATCTGGGACATTCGCTTGCCACTGAAGATTAGGATCTTCCTTTGGCAATGGATTCGTGGCCGCCTCCCCTCCGGAGTCGAAGTCCTCAAGCGCAACGGACCCGGAGATGGGCTTTGCCCTTTGTGCGGCACGGCGGAGGATGCTAATCACATCTTCTTCACGTGTCCTGCGGCCCAGTTTCTTTGGTCCAGTTTCCGCGAGACGGTTGGTGGCCAGTGGTGCAACTCCAACTTCCCCGACCTTCTCACGGAGATCCATGCCTCCCCCCCTCGCCACCGACATATCCGTTGGTTATGCGTTGGGGTCCTCGCCTGGACGCTGTGGACCGTCAGCAATAAGCTTGTCATCCAAAAAGTGCCTCTACGATGCGCTACTGACGCCATTTTTAAAATGTGTGGGTACTTGCAGCTTCGGCGGCCGCTTAGCCGCCCTCAGGATCGGGACGTCAT